GGGGGGGGTAGAAAAAAGTTTTGTATTTCGATTTAAAAAGAGGTAACCCCCTCTCCATTAATTAAGAATGGGTACTAATGACCAAGTTGACCCGATCAGAATGAGCAATTTGTCAACTGTAATCAGAATAATTAAACTCGAGCTCTTCAAGTGGTAACTGTAATAGCATTTTTGTTCAGATTGGTACTATGTCCCTCGAGTAAAACAATTCATTCACGTTTTTATTACCCTTTCAATAATTTATTCTGTGATTCTGATGCTTAATCAGTCACAACGTTTATTGAAATGGTTACCAACTGCAAAGTATTGTTGACTTCTCCTCGCGTACTATGACGGGAAATCTACGCAGTTTCTTTCTTAGTATAATTTCTTTGTTGTTGTTGTTGTTGTTGTTGTTGTTGCTGTTGTTGTTGTTGTTATTGTTGATGGTGATGATGATTGTTACACTTACTTTTCTTTTTGTTTCTTTAAAATTGTCATTTTAATCGACACAATTTAGAACATTTAGGAGGCGGGTTTCCGACCCTGCCTTTCAGGGTGACTTGGACTGAAAAGGATACATCATCTCAGCGGAAAGGCCGAGAAACGTGATAAAAACTATTTCCCACTTGGGTCTCCTCTATGCGACAGCGAAACGCCTGATCGCTACATCGCAGACGCCGGTATTTACTTTTTTTCCTTTGGAGGTAGAAAGAGTAATACAGTAAAACAGGTCCTGGTGTCCTTTAGAAAAATGGAAAATGGCACAACTGTATAAAGAGTGGTAGGCTACATTGAACACGCTACACTTTTTAATGAATTAAGTCTGTTGCCGGGGGCGAAGGCTGACTTGTTTAGGCAGGGTAATCAAAGTGAGACAAAGAACCAGGTAGAAATGAGGACACGCACGAAAAACTTCCCCACAATAGGAACATAATTAACAGAACTTAAATACTTAATCGCGGCGGGATCACTAAGTTGGGAATGAGAAAAAAAACCTTCTTTTCATACTGTAATGCTCACCCGCCAAAATA